GAGCCGGCGGCCTGCACCACGCGCACTCGGACGCGCAGGGCCACCTCCTCTTCCCCGGCCTCCCTGAGCAGCACGGGCCGCACGGTTCACAGAATGTGCTCAACGGGCAGATGCGCCTCGGGCTGCCCGGCGAAGTGTTCGGGCGATCAGAGCAGTACCGCCAGGTGGCCAGCCCGCGGACCGACCCCTACTCGGCACAGCTCCACAACCAGTACGGCCCCATGAATATGAACATGGGTATGAACATGGCAGCGGCCGCGGCCCACCACCACCACCACCACCATCACCCTGGTGCCTTTTTCCGCTACATGCGGCAGCAGTGCATCAAGCAGGAGCTCATCTGCAAGTGGATCGACCCTGAGCAGCTGAGCAACCCCAAGAAAAGCTGCAACAAAACTTTCAGCACCATGCACGAGCTGGTGACCCACGTCTCTGTGGAGCACGTCGGCGGCCCGGAGCAGAGCAACCACGTCTGCTTCTGGGAGGAGTGTCCGCGCGAGGGCAAACCCTTCAAGGCGAAATACAAACTGGTCAACCACATCCGCGTGCACACAGGCGAGAAACCCTTCCCCTGCCCCTTCCCGGGCTGCGGCAAGGTCTTCGCGCGCTCTGAGAACCTCAAGATCCACAAAAGGACCCACACAGGTAACCGCGGGCCGGAACAGGGACGGGACGCGGAGGGGAGAGAGGCTGTGGTTGGTTTGCTGAGAGAAACGCACCGACCGCCAGCCTTGACTCTGGAATGGGAGTTGTTTTTGTGTGTGCGAGAGAGCCAACAGATTGTTTTTGTTGGAAAATGAAAGAATATTACTGGGCTGGGTTTTTCCATGTGTGGAAATTGAGTTTTAAATAACCAGGGTAACATCAAATGTATGCTTTGGGTGATGCAATTGCTTCACCCGGCTCATAATTGCTCAGCCTGGTTAATAATTTCCGTTCTAAATAGAGCGCACAAAATAAAACTGCTCTCCAACTCCGTGCCTGGGAATGGAGCCTAGAGAGGATTTGCCAGCTTGTCTGAATGTGCTTTTATGCTTCGGGTGTGTCTGTGTTTGAGTGGCTTGTGTGTTTTCCCACTTATTTTATTCGAGGTCTAAACGTCCTTCCAGGACTGTTTCCCATTAAATGAATCTGGTGTGAGCCGAAGCAGCAAAGCATTTTTCATTTTTAAAGCTCATCTTGGGGTTGGTCTCGAGGCTTTACGGTGGGATCGCAGTAGTTTGGGATATCCTCTAATGGGTACCAGAGGGTTTGCAATTCCAAACTTGGACCAACATCCCCGTTAGCGAGCGCCCGGGGCAGCGCAGCCGCGAGAAGCAATCGCGTGACATGAGAGAACCGCAAAAGAACGCGCCTCTCGCTTCATAGATTATTCATCTATGACCAGGACCCAGCCAAAATTGTGCCAGACGATTTCCTAAAAGAAAGCCAAATGTTTTAGCAACTTCCCCCGTCAATATTTACTCCGAAGTGGGGATGCGCCAGCGGCCTATTGTTCTCTTCCGGGAAGGGAGGGAGGCGAGGTGCTAGACAAGCTTTTAACAAGGTTTAAAATTTGAGAAATTTATTTGCATGAAATGCTTGCTTTCGAGTCCTGTGTCTGAGCGGATGTCTTTAAAAAACAATTTAGGTGCTAATGGAATTTAACGTTAAATGGTCCCCTTTCCAAGTGGAACAATGTTAGTTCTCACACCTCTAAATGACTCCAAGCGTTTGGAATTCTGGCAACAGGATGCAGGGGCCGCCAGAAAATTAACTGGAAGATTTTGAAAGCCTTTGCTAATGCACCCACCCCCAGTGCCCAGCCTGTGCTTCTGCAGTCCCTAGATGCTGCCTTATCTCTAATACTTACCTTTTCCCCCAACTTATTAAAACACACACACACATACACAAAACCCCTGGAAGTGAGACTAGAATTATGGTTAATTTAATTTGCAGAATTTTGGATGAAAAATACTGGCTCAGTCCCTATGCACAGCCCGTCCCCAAACAACACGCAGCAACTCCAAATCTAATTGCCTACTGGCCCCAGAGAGAAACCGACAGCAGTCCAGCAGTCTGTGTGATTTTCATAATGCCCCAAATATTTTGTCATAATAACAGCTTCTCCGTGGCGAGACGAACTTGTCGGAAGCTACAAATCCAAGAAGCTCTATTGAAAGGCGGGCAGGACCGGGTGCTTCCCCAAATTAAAAATCTGAGGAACTGGGCATCAGTCTGGAAGAAAGTAAACTATAAAATAAATGAGCCAGGACCGTCCAGTGGAAAGGGTTAATTTCATCTTAGTTCTGCCACAGAGGGGACCCATCTGCTTAAGGGACCCAGGCCCTTCTCAGTCTGCTTTCCTCCTCGCAGAGGCCTTGCCCCCTCCAGGGTGGGTGGGAGTTCCCCGGGGGGGCTCTGGGTGTCCACAGCCAGTGCCCATGTTTACCTTCCACAGGGGAGAAGCCGTTCCAGTGTGAGTTTGAGGGCTGCGACCGGCGCTTCGCCAACAGCAGTGACAGGAAGAAGCACATGCACGTCCACACCTCCGACAAGCCCTATCTGTGCAAGATGTGCGACAAGTCCTACACGCACCCCAGCTCTCTGCGGAAACACATGAAGGTACCAGCGGGGAGGCCGGGAGCAGGGCGCGCAGGCCGGCCGCGTGGCGGGCGCGCCACCAGCCTGAGCAGCCCCGGCCGGCCTCGGAAGGGCATGGGTTCCCCGGGGCCAGGCGGCAGGGGCGTTTCTGGGGCGCTCCTCCGGGGGCCCGGCCCCACAGCAGCTGCACTCACACCCAGTCCCCTTTGGTCTCCCCTCCCGGCTTTTGTCTTGCAGGTCCATGAGTCCTCCCCGCAGGGCTCTGAGTCCTCTCCAGCCGCCAGTTCGGGCTACGAGTCGTCCACGCCCCCGGGGCTGGTGTCCCCCAGTGCCGAGCCCCAGAGCAGCTCCAACC